AGAGAAACGCGCATAAAAATAAGGAAAGCACCTTGTCGCCCCCAAGCACCTTTGTTTTTTTTTTTTCCCCAAACATCTTCGATGCTTTAATTCCTTTTAAACTTTTGTTATCCTCAAAATATTAAATTCAATCAAGCTTCGTCATCATCATCCAATCACTACCGATCACCTTCATCGATTTTTTTTTGTTGTTTTTTGGTTAACCTTCATCCGATTAGATCGCAGTTACAATCCCCTTTTTTGTTTTTTTGTTTTGTTTTTTTTCCCAAATTGTGTACAGTGATCGTTAACAGTGAAGTTATCTAGCCGAAAAGACGGTAGAATACATCCAACTAGGTGTCTTTATGTCCAAATTTTTACCGTCATAAAGGAAATCCTCTACATTCATCCGATCACTGTAAACGATTTATTATTATCACCTAATAGTAATAACGACCACATAGGACATACAGACACCAGGACGTATCTAGCCGAAAAGACGGTAGAATACATCCAACTAGGTACCTAAATTGAGTCTACCCCAACTCGAATAATGTATACACCACCCATCAGATCAGACCACATCAAATATAATCAAATCAAATCAAATCAAGGGCCTCGCTCCACTGCGCAACACACTCTGGACCTCACAGTCGTCCGGGTACATTGAAAATGCTGAACTCCTCCGAATGCACCTGGTGCACAAAGGCGTCCAAATGCATTTGGAATGTTGAGCAGTAGACCGAGGCCCCAAATCGAATCGGCGGATCAGACCAAATCCAATCATATCGGATCAAATTTAACCAAACTGGATCACAGATCGGATCCGATCGGGATCGGGATCGGATCAGATCGCGACAGACGTCACCGATAGAAGTCATGAGATCAAGCGGCCTCATTTACTGAGAGGAGGGGAAGAGTGGAAAAGGGGAAGTGGGGGGCTGGGGGGGGAGGGGGACAAGACTAAACGACGGAGGAAGCGAGTTATACGACCATTTTTCCCCAGAGATAGACCCCCATCCACTCATCGTGCTCACTCACGTCCCTCCACTTCCCGCACTTCACCTCCCATATCCCACTACCCGCTCCATCCCATATCCCCCTACTTCCCCCTACTTCCCCCCACTTCCGCCCATTTGGCGATTTCCGCTCCCCCCACTTACAATTCTGTCTCTTATACACATCTAGATGTGTATAAGAGACAGCACACACACAAGGATGAAAAGCATTAATTGAAAAAAGGTCCAAAATAAAAAAAAAAAAAAAAAAAAAAAAAAAAAGAGAAGAAACGTTTCTAGGTGAATGAATTCTGGGCTGTTTGGGATCCACATACATTCTAGCTGACCAAACTTTTTGAGACCAAACTTTTTGAACGTATCGGGACATTTGGAGTGTTGTGGACTCCAGCGACGGCCCACAGATACAAGCACCACCACAACCACACTAAACAAAAACGAGCAAAAAACCAAAAAAAAAAGGAAGAAGGAAAAAAAAAAAAAAAAAA